TCTTCCAGACGTTTCTCTCCACGAGGGTCACTTCTATGGATATGAAAATGAGCGTCTTTGACCTCAACACTACTCTCATCGCCAGAATAACTCTCTTTCTCCGCTCCCTCATCTTGCCCAAGCCTGTCCGACACTTTCACATGAACCTCTCTATCTTTTTCAGAATGGTTTTCATTTTCTATGCTATTTTCGTCATGTTTCTCGCTCCCCAGGCCTGGCTCCTTAGCATGGTGAATAACCAGTTTTTCCTGTATCTGACGTTCGTGAGTGTGGTGATGTTGCGCATGTTGAAACGCAGCGGCTACGTCACGAATCAGCTTTCTTTCGTCGTTTTGTTGAACGGCCTTCTTTGACGAGCCCGCTATGACACTGCCATCTTTATCAACATCTGCTTTGAAAATAAGGTGTATTTTAGCCTCAGAAAATTTTCTCCCGCTCGAAACGAGCGTCTGAAATTTGGCCCAAAATTCCTGTACTTATAGCAAAGTTGTGCAGGGATCAGTGTCCCATGACTTGTTATTAAGAGGGAATCCACCAGAAGGTCGTGTAACAAGTGGACAAAAACTTTGTACCAAGATGATTTGAATTGTATCGCAAATTTCGCTGAGGCTGTTTTTAATATCTTCTCAAAAGAGATCATTTCTAACAACACCAAATGTAGAAAACAAATTTTGAAGTTCATATGAAACATTTGAAAGTACTGGTGAAATGACACTGATGATGAAATTTTACCTGTGGTTGCACACTTTCTCCGAACTTGGAATTTATTTCCTCGACTTCCCATAGGAAATTATTTTTGGTGTCATTTCAGGCAAATATTTCTATCTTTAGCTTTTAGAAAATAAAAAAAAGCACTGTTATATACCTAAAATTATTCCAGAACAAGGTTTTTGTTCACTTAAAACTGAAATTGTTCGATTTTCTATTGGATTTCATCTTAAAATGTAAAATTCAAAACGGATGAATCGCTAGTCAGAGACTCTGCACCAATCCCTCATGACCTAGCAAGGAGACGCACACCTCTTTCCAGCCGTGGAAGAATATGAACTAGCGAAAAAAGACTTTCGAGAATAGGAAAAGATAGGATTGGTCAAACTCAATTACTTAGAGATTCAATTATATGATTGGAATTTTCCTTAGTTCCCTTCAGAAATAAAAATTA